GTATATATGTGTGTGTGTGTGTGTGTGTGTCTTTGTTGGTCCTTTTACCTGGAGTACTTTTCTCTGCATTTTCAATCTGAACAGTGCTTAACTCGTCCATCTAGAACCCAGTAATTGAAGGGCTGCTGTTGTATCTTTTATGTAGATCTATTTTTAGGCTTAAACATATTTTGTAATAATTAGTTTGGTAGCTTCATGCTTTCACTGTGAGTTTCCTGAGTGCCAGGACAATCTCACTCATCTTCATAATCCTTAAAAGCTGGTATGGTCAGTCCTTTCCATAGAGATTGAATGGACTATAAATTATTTAGTTATTACAATAAATCTACAAAGTATGTATTATTTTTTTTCATAGATAAGTACTTTCAATTCAGAGACATTAAACAACTTGTCCTAGTTTATCCCACTAGTAAATAGAAGACTATAATTCAAACATAGCTCTTTAAAGTTCGTTCTCTTTTTTTTAAAGAATTATTTTATTTAACTTTATTTATTTGTTTATTTTTATTTGACCAGACAGGGACAGAGAGAGAGAGAGAGAGAGAGAGAGAGAGAGAGAGAGAGAAAGAGAGAAGAGAGAGGGAAAGCAAGAAAGCAAGCTGCAGGTCTGGCACTTGAATTGCAGTTGGCCATGTGGGAGTCCAGCACCCTAAACCACCACGTCACCTGCCAGCCACAAAAGATTGTGCTTTTTGGGAACAGCAGATGGCGTGATGCTTATGTCACTGGACTCCCACGTAATCCACTGCAATTTGAGTCCCTGATCTGGCGACTTAAACCTCATGCCAGGTGCATGTGCATGTGTACCCAAGATCCCAACAGAGGAATAGAGAAGGGATTGCGGCATGGCCATCGCTCCTGGGGAGTAATTTCTTGCTTTCTGTCTCTCTGGTGAGTGTTCACATTGTATAGCAAATATCTCTCTCTAAAAAAAAAAGATTGTGCTTTTTTTCTTTTCTTTTTCTTAATGTTTCCTGTAGGACATGTGCACTTGCAAGAGTCAGAGACAGAGGGACCAGCAGTTAGCGTAATGGCTATGTCGCCCTTTAGCAAAATTAAAAAAACATAAGGATGTCATAAGAGTTCTATTTGTCAGTTTTCTATTTGTCATTTTCTATGCAAAATTTCATCATAACTTTCCCAGCAACCTGAGAGTTGACCCTGGCTCTTTGACTCTAAAGGATGTGAGGAGAAAATGAGAGGTTGCTTCGAAGCTAAATGTATAAGAAGCATGGGGGTTATATCAGCTTCATATTTGGGTTTCAACCATGAAAAACAGACAGGCCTCAATCTGGGGATTGTGTCAGGTTCTATTGGCCCTATAAAAAACCTATGACTCACTTTTGAAATGAGAAATGGAAATTATCCTTACATAATTATATTGATTTATCAAGAGTTCTTGCCATCTGGATAGTTATTTTATATTTTTGGGATTTTTCTCTCTGAATCTTTTGTTTCTCAGCTACTATAAATATCAGCCTCACTCTGCTTGTCTCAGCCCTTAAAACTACATGCACACACTCCTCCCTTACGTTTTCTATACATTTTTTCCCTTAAAAGATAGATTTCCATGAATATTTTAACTGTAATTTTAGTTCTAAAGTTTTAATCAAATTGGCCTTATAGAACATGATCAAAAGTGCTCCTATTATGATAATTACTCAATAGAACCTATTAAAATCTTCATCCACTTCTGACTTGCAAAATGAAAGCAAGGAGTTGAAGTATAATGGAAAAGACCTGTCAGGAGGTGAAGTGCCTGCTCTGTCACCAATTATATGACTTTGGAAGTGACTTTTGCCCACGGTGACTTTTGGCCTCAGTTTTTCTATTTGTCAAGTAAGGATGTCAGACATCCACCTGGTGGAATGGTGGTGAAGGGCGCTGGATCCTGCATGGCTGACTGTGCAGTTTGTGTCTGGATCTGGTGGTATAAAAACATCTGGTGGTGTGCTCAAAATCCCAAAAGGAGGGAGACATCGAGGAGAAGGGATTGCATCCTGGTCGTCCTCCATGCAGGGGATGCTGTCTCACTTTCCCTCTCTCTGTCTCTCTGATAAAGTACATGTGCCCTTTAGCAAAATTTAAAAAACGTAAGGATGCCATAAGAGTTCTATTCATGTTCTTATAATATCATTTTATGATACTGAGATGTTTAACAATTTTTAGAAGTATAAATAATTCTTATATAGTAATTGGACAAAGTACATTTCTCCAAAAGTATATTTTCAACTAAATCTGAGAGTAATTACTATTTTTTAATCTTCAACTTAAAGTTAATGAATATTATAATTTTCCTTTGGCAATATATGTTAGCTCCCATCTCTCTTCCCCAGAGGAAAATCTTGATATTGTACTAGTTCTTTCTTCTCAAACATTTCTTTTTCCTTTGAACTAAAAATGCAAGGTCTAATTTTCTGAGAGCGATCTTGGCTCACCTCTTCAAAGAGTCCTTCCAGGATCACCTTAGAATCCATCTGCCCTGGTCACTCTCAACACTAACCTGTTTTGTTAAATCTGAGAACAGTGTACTTATTTTCTAAATTTTTAAGTTGTTCATTTCCTGCCTCCTTCTTCTAGAAGATGATCTCCACTAGAGCAGAAACATGGTTAGTCTTCTTCACCACTTTGTCCCCCAAATCTAAACAGTTGCCAGTACCTGTATACAGTCTAAGAAAGCTGGCCTTACATTAAAACCATATTAATATACTCCTGTTCCTGTTCCTATCAATAATGCAAACATTTTGTTACTAAACAGCAGTTAAGCATGCCATCAATAGATTTTCTTTTAAATTTAAGTATATGGGTTTCTCCTTGGAACATGGCTAAGATCAATAAAATAAAATAGCAGGTATAAAATGGGAATTGCATGTAAAAGAAAATATCATAATTAGAATTAATGCAAACTACTTTTTTTTTTAAGAATTACTTTATTTAACTTTATTTAACTTTATTTGTTTTTAATTTGACCAGAGAGGGACAGGGTGAGAGAGAGAAAGGGAGGGAAAGTGAGAATGCTACCAGGTCTAGGATTCGAACTGTGGTTGGCCATGTGGGAGTCCAGTTTTCCCAACCACCACGCCACCTGCTGGCCCCAATGCAAACAGTATTTTGCCAAAAAAGAATGTTATATTACCTTGATTTCATCTATAATCATAACAAGGTGAAAAACATATGGTCTCTGTCCTTATTAAAATCTATAATATTAATATATTTCTAATTCAAAGGAGATAAGAGTTATAATAGTCATATAAATACCTAGGAAGAATGGTGGAGGCAGAGATGCATTTTAACTGAGATACTTTCCTGGTAAGTAGCACTTTCCTTAGGCTGTTACTAACATCATTTTTTAGCACTTCAAGAAACTCAAATAGTTTTAAGGTAGAAGGAAGGATATTATCCACTGACTTGGTATTAAAAGCTACCCTGATCGAAAGACTGCATTTCTTTAAGCAGGTCATTTATAGTTTTTCAATTGTATTCATTTTATGCATGAAGGTGGTTGAGAAAACAATCCTCACATGACTCAGTCAATCAGGAAATACCAACTGAATGTCTGATGCTGGTCAGTATGGAAGCCCTGATATGACCCATCATATGACCAAGTTGGGAAGTCTCCATGGAAGAGGAATCTTACAGACTGAATTTTGTTCCTCTGAAATTCACATGTTGAGCTCCAACTCACTATGACTGTATGTGGAGATAGACCCTTTTAGAAATGACTAAGGTTCAATGGCAGCATCTCCGAACAGAATACCAACACCACAGTCCACTCCCAGCTAATCCCAGATGCCAGCCCTGTGAATGCCCAGCACACTCACTGCTGTCTCCATACAGGAACCCCGAACCTTCCTCTGTGGGTCAGCCCTACAGAGTACCACATTTCACCACTTCACCACCATCCAGCCCCTTGATCGTTCTTAGAGTCACACTCTGCTCTTCATTTCCACCTCTGTCACAAATCGTATTGCCCATGATTTTTCTAAGCTTACCCCTTACCAAAACGCCAAATATAAGCCCCACATTTTTTTTACTGTGTCAAATACAAACCTCCACAGTCACCTCCCTCACCCTAGGTACAACAGCATATAATTTCCCGAGCACTTGCCTACACCCCATCCATGCTTCGTTCTCTCTTCTATAATTTAAAAGCCAAATTCATTCCAACTTTTTCTGCAGCTTTTATTCATTACTTTTGCTGAGCATTTTTTTTCAAAGCAGACACTTCACCAACACTGTCTCTCAGAAATGGCCCTAACCACATCCTTGAAGACATAGATCATGCTTCTCATTCTAGTAGTCTGGTAGGGCTGCCCTAACAAAGTACCACAGATGGGGAGATATAATAATAGGAATTTACTTGTTCACAGTTCTGGGGGTTGGAAGTCCAAGATCAAGGTGTTGGCAGATTTGTTTTCTCCTGAGGCCTCCCTCTTTGCAAATGACTGTATTCTCACTGTGTCCTCAGATGGCCTCTTCTCTCTGTGTGCACTCGTCTGGTGTCTTGTCCTTCTCTTGTAAGGACATCAGTCATATTAGATCAGAGCCCCACTTTAACAACCTTACTTTAACTCAATCTCTTTTTTTAGTGGTTTAGATCTTTTCCTTGTGAATAGATATTCATCATATTTTACTCTTGAATCAAGCATATTTTCCTTTTTTTTCTTTTTTACGTACAAAGCTTCATTTTAAAGGAGCTAGTCATTTAATATAGAATAAGATGAGTGACATTCATTCTTCTTGGAAATGAAATGTTTAGCTGCTAGAGATAAATCAGCAAAAGTAGAATACATGTCTCCTTGATTGGTGGTAATTTACTTCAGATTAGTGAGTGCCTGACTTCCAAGAAGTTGTGCATTTTGCCTTAGTATGCTTTCATTTATTCTCCATGTTGAATTGATTTTCTCATTTATGATATTGTAAGTCTCGAAAAATAATCATTAATAAATTCTTTTCTGATTGCTATAGCTGAGTGACCTTTTATCTTCTTGATATTGCAGTTGACTCACATTGACCAGGCCAGCTTCCAGGTTGATGCCTTTGGAACATCGTTCATTCTTGATCTTGTGCTAAATCAGTAAGTGTTTGTTGAACTACATTTATTCAATACTTTTGTCAAATATATACTGAATCTACTTTATTATTCTTCTGTGAAATTTTTTTACACGTTTCACTTCCTTTTCCTATACCAGTTAAATACTACATTTCAAGCTATATTGACTATCAGATATGAAATCTGACAAATAATAAGTAGATATTCATTTGAAATAGAACATATAATAGATTTGAGGGCCAGCAGATGGTATAGTAGTTATGTCCCTGGACTCCCAGGTAGTTGATTGTGGTTTGAGTCCCAGACCCTGTTACTTGAAAACCATGCTGGGCATGTGTGCGTGCATGTCCACAATCCCGGGATGAGAATGGAGGAGAAGGGATTGCAGTATGGCCATTCCCCCTGGGGGGTGAGTTCTCACTTTCCATCTCACTGTCTCTGTCTTTCTCTGGTGAGGGCCCTCTACAAAAGAAAAAGAATGTAAAATAGAGGATAAGAATTATTCCAATATTTTGTATAAAAATATATGTAACCCAAGTTTCTTATGAGTGACAATAAATTATGAAAAGTAATATTTAGGATATTGATAAGTTTATTTCTTTAGAACACCAGAAAAGATAAAAGTTACGCTTTCTGATTAATGATTCATTAGAATGGCTGCATGATATGTGATGCTAAATAATGCTCATCATCATTTAATATTTGGATTCACTCATATGATAAAGCCATTTTTGTAGGTCAAAAAGTTTGACAAGGCCCAACTTGGTGGCACAGTCCATAGCAGGCTGGACCTCAGTACTAGAGGCCAAACAGCAAACTGTGGTTTGGATTTCCAGCCTGAACAACCTGAAATATGCCGGAGCATGTGTGCCCATGCCCAGGATCCTAACAGGCTGGAGGGAGGGGATTACAGTGTGGCCACTGGACCCTGTCAGTGGTGCTTCCTCCCTCTTTCATGCATGCATTCTCTGAATTAAAAAAAAATTATATTAAAACAGTATTTTACTTACAGCATATAGTCACCTCATACTACATTTTATAGTTAGTTATTTTGCCTATTATTATTTTTTACTTCCATTAGACTTGAGGGCAGAGATTTTTTTTCCTTTACCCTGTACCTTAGCACAGCTTAGAGGGCAAATTCTAGGCTGGTAGGTCATACTGGCCCACAAACCAGAGGCTGGAATTAACCAGGAGACAGATGAGATGTCTGGGTAAACAAGAGTGGAACAGCAAAAAGAAAGGATAAGCATTTGGGATTAGTTTCTTCTTCTTCTGTGCCTCCCATCGGGTACCTATGCTCACCAGAGAGAGACAAAGAGAGCAAGAAAGTGAAAAGTCATCCCTCCTGCCCACCCACGTGGACTGGTTGGAGGTGACCATGCTGAAATCCTTTCTCTTCTTTTCTCTTGGGATTTTGGGCATGCATGCACATGAGCTTGTGTGATTTTCAAACTGCTGAGTCTGGAGCTCAAACTGCATAGCGGCCATATAGGATCTAGCCACCATAATCTCCATGCACCCTGCTGGCCCTGGGACTAGTTTCTTAAAGCTGAGCATAAGTATCTAGGTGTGACTTGGAAAGTCAGGTTTCAATGACATTTTCTCATCTTTTTTTTATTATTTATTTTAAAAAGTTGGCTCATGGGACCAGCAGTTGGTGTAATGGCTGTGTCTCTTTACTCCCATGTGGTCGAATGCAGTTTGAGTCCCAGACCCAGTGGCTTAAACTCACCCTGTGTGCGTGTGCGTGCATGTGTGCCCAAGATCCCGACAGGAGAATTGAGGAGAAGGGATTGCGGCATGGCCATCCCCCTTGGCGGATGATTTCTCTTTCTGTCTCTCTCTGTCTGTCTGGCGAGTGCATGCGCCCTATAGCAAAAACCTCTCTGAAAAAAAAGAAAAAAAGTTGATTGACTTATTTCTACCATCAGGAATTGAAAGAGAGGCAGGCACTCCTTGCTGTGATCCACCTCCAACCCATTCAGCCTGGATCATGGGACACTGTGTGCACTCAGTGTGCTAGAGAAGTCCTAGGATGCGAACCCAGGACTCCTCTTATCTGGCCCCCCAATTCCTGATCTTTTATATCATTGTTCTTATTTTCTGGTTGCTGACTTTGTAATTCCTTGACTTTCCTTATTCAAACAAGAAAGAGACATTTATTCATGTCCTTTCTGCCCAGCCGTTCATACTTCCTTTGGAGCTATCCAAACCCAAAAAAACCTTTCTGTTCCTGAAGGAGAAACACATATGGCCATACTTATCAGAGCATGAAGCCTAGAATACCAAGGGTGAATAAGAATTTCTTTTTATTTCAATAGAAATTAAAACTTGCAAGAAGTACAGAAGATAAAATAATGCATAAATGGAGGCTTCCTGGGTTTGGGAAATATGCCTGATGCTTACTTTTCACCTGTGATCTATATTAAACATGTTTTCTCTATGCTATAAGAACCATAATGATAAGATGTAAATTTTTTTGTTTTGTTTGTTTGATTTGAACACTCAAATTCTCTTCAAATGGACAAGTTCAGTCTTGTCTTCTCCCATTTGTTTTTGTTTTTGTTTTTTGCTATAGGGTTGCATATGCTTGCCAGAGAGAGAGACAGACAGACAGAAAGAGACAGAGAGAAAGTGAGAAGTCACTCCCCCCAAGAGGGAGGCTGACCATGGTGAAATCCCTTTCCTCCAGTATCCTCTTGAGATTTTGGGCATACATGCACACATGTCCAGCGTATTTTCCAAGCCGCCAGGTCTGGGACGCGAACTGCAAAGTCGGCTGTGTGGGAGCCAGCCACCTTAACCACCACACTACCTGGCTGATCCATGATGCAAATGTTTAATCTTATTTTTATTTTCTTAACTTTTTTACTTTTAAGAAGTATTTTATTTAATGTTATTTATTATTATTATTTTCCAGTTTGATCAGAGAGAGACTGAGAAAGAGAGAAGGAAAGTAAGAAAGCGAACCACCAGGTTCTAGGACTTGAACCATGGTTGACCATGTGGGAGTCCAGTCCTATAACCACCATGCCCCCTGCTGGCCCCAATTTTCTTACTTTTCTTTAAAAATAGAGTCTTGCTCTTTCACAATTCTGCCTTAGCCTCCTGAGTAACTGGGACCACAGGGATATTCTGCTATATCCAACTCTCTCAGACATAGTCCTCACTGTGTTGCCCAGGCCAACCTCAAGCTTGGAATCCTCCTCCTCGGTGTTCGTTGCACTGCTGGGAGGACAGGTGCGCACCTTCACACCCAGCCTTTCAGTTGGACCAGGAATCAAATCCAGGCTTCCCATGTAGTTCCAGCCTGTGGAGCATAGCATCTTACGAGTGCCTATGCCTGTGCTGGGACTTATTTTTATGTAGAGCTTTTTTATTTCATGATTTTAGTTTTTGTATTTGTTGTTCTGTTGGTAAAGGAGTAGGAAGGGGAAGCATTGAATATGGTTGTTAAAAGCTTTTTTTCTTATGAAGCAATCCTAGGGCTGTGGAATATGAAGTTTTTTTTGTTTTTGTTTTTGTTTTTTAATCTGGAGAAAAATGAAATAAGTCTATGTGTAACTGGATTCCAGTTGCAGAATGGATTCAATAATACATATTTTTAGATTGGAATGCAAGGAAAAGTATCATAGTATCATTACATAATATTCCTCCTGATGTCCAGTAAACAAGGTTATCTATAACCAGATTATACAAGAGTTTAGCCTTTGGGTGGTAACTTTTACAGACAGATAAGAAAATATGGAAACATTATAAACAAAAAGCACAGCCTTTTCCTGTTTTGTCAAAATTATTAAGAAAAGGGTAGAGAGCAGTTTCCTTCACGGGGTCACAGTTATGTAATTTCATTCTTTAGGACAGATATATTAATAAAGCCAAATATATGACCTGGCCTGGCCAGACTAGTCCTGAGGCTATTCTGGAGCTTTCCAGAAATCCACAATGGGTATTATATACTTTATTGTAAAACCTTCCTTAGAAAGAAAAATGCTCAGTAAAGACATTTACTGTATGTATTTTCTGAGCAATTCAAGCCAAGTCTTTTCCTGTAAATCTCTCTCCTGTTCTTCAAGAAGTGAATAATTAAAGTGTCCAGAGCAATACAAGAATATTGAAAACATTTCCTTGTAAGCAGTACTCCTTGATCCTCTTATAGCGGGTGACCTGACAAAAGCCACACAAATATTCACACACGCACCACAAAGGATACTCTCCACATGGTCTAGGGTTGATTGTTTTAGGATGTGAACTATACAATGTAGTTAGAAGGAAAGAACCCGTTCTGAGAGCCTGTTTTTTTGGAAAGGATTTTGTTGTAGTGTTCCCAGACCTTGGATGATCCAACTCCTACATTTTGGCTGTATTTGACAGATTCTCACCCTCTTATCTTCTTACTGCAATAACAACAAAATGAATTCTCTCACTTTAGGAGAGAATTCTTATAGCAGTCTCTTTTTACCCCATTTCACAGTGTGGGGGTGGTGGGAGAATAACTAGGAACTCAAACTCGGCAGATGTCGGCCCATGGGGTTACCGATGCAGAATGGGAGGTAGTGTGGTGATGGTGGGGGCCGGGGGGAGAAGCATGGACAAGGAATACCCAGCTTTTGTTCAAATGGTCAGTCTTGTCTTCTCTCATGTAGGAGAATCATTTTTCAGTTAGTCGTTTCTTGCTTGCTTTCTACTGACATCCTTGAATTTGCAGGGAAAGTAGGTATGACAGTGGTAAAAACAGGGTATGAATTCCATTAGAATTGGAAATGAGCTCTGGAAGAGTCTCATTTACTTAACTATGCTCTGTTTACAGTGTGTGGATAATGATGATGATAAAAAGAAGTGATGAGAATAAGATTATAATTAAATGATGTTTTGTGATGGTAATGAATAATAATAGATCTCTCACTGTTATCAATAAATCTGTAACTGAGTATCTTGTTGTTTCCCTAAATTTATTATGATCAAAATTTGTTGACTTTTTAAAGTAATTTTTGCCATAGGGCATGTGTGCTTGCTGGAGA